AGATGCTCCACCAGGGGGGTCCACGTCTCGCAAGCGTAGAGAAGGGAGGGAATGACCGTGGCCGAGAAGACCTGAAGCTTCGTGCGGAGCGACAGACCAGGTAGCTTCCACACAGCGATACGCAACCGATGAAAAGATATTGCCGCTCGACTGATTCGGAGTGAGACCTCTGCTGATAGACTGGAGCCGGTCATAAGCACACTGCCCAGGTATGGGAAACTCTCCACTCTCTCCACAACTGCCACCCACCACCCACCCACTCACCCACCACCCACCCACCACCCACCCACCACCCACCCACCCACCACCCACCCGGACCCACCACCCACCCACCCACCCGGACCCACCACCCACCCACTCACCCACCACCCACCCACCACCCACCCACCACCTACCCACCCACCACCCACCCAACCACCCACCACCCACCCACCACCCACCCACCACCCACCCAACCACCCACCACCCACCCACCCAGACCCACCACCCACCCACCTACCACCCACCACCCACCCACCACCCACCCACACGGACCCACCACCCACCACCCACCCACCACCCACCCACCACCCACCCACCCGGACCCACGGTGATGTTTTTGGTTTGGTGAGATGTCAAGATCGAGCAAGTTTGAAAGTGTGCGGTGGAATGAAACAGTTTGAGAAGCACAGATTTAGAGGACCGCAGAACTTGGGCAATTATTGGTGCCAGCTCATCGCCTGGACACAGGCTTCCAGGCTGTGTGCAGTTGCTCAGCGGCAGGGATACAATTTGCACAAACGACGCTATATAATACGAAACATTATTTTCTATCTACCTAATCGCATTCATCGTAATCAAACCTCACAAATTCTAGATTTGAAGCTTTCGTGGCTGCAATGATTCATATTCTTAGGTTTTTTCGGTAAAGTCACGTAGGTAAAAACATTAAAATAAAATAAAAATCACGACGTTTCGGAGGCAACACAAGCTGCCGTCTTCAGGTGGAACCGTCACAGCCACGACAGCCGCATCAAGTAAATGAGAGATTGCAAGAGCTACCACTGTGTATATATAATGTGTAATAAAAGGACTCGAACACTTCTTACTGACTCCGTGTCCTTTATTTGGGGTTCGCGTTCTCCTTCCCACACGGCACTCCTCCTGAGACTCTCTCCCTGGCAGCCCCACATCTGCCTTCGCTCCCGTAGCCTTCCACGCTCCTGCAGCTCCGCTGCAGGCTCTTGGTGCAGCCCTCCGGCTGCCCCCACAGCAGCTCCATCGCTGCTCCCTGTTCCTCCGTGCGTGGCGATCTCGCCACCTCCCCAGTTAGCCCTTCGTGGCCTCTATGGCTACCTCGCCATCTCCAACCTCAATCCTCCATTCTCTCTTCCACCCCGCTGGCTGGCACCGTCATGAGCCCCTCAGCCACCAGGCTGAGGCACGGCGACCACCCAACGTGTTCACCACCCTTCACTCCCCCGACTGCCCCAGATAGCTTCCTGTCTCCCCGCTATAACTTCTCCCCCACGTCACCCTGACTCCTCCCTCTCGGATCGTCATATCCGCCCCGCCCATTTACGCCCGCATTACACTACCCTCCCCCGTAGAGAAAATCCCAGCCGTCCTCGGCTGAAACAGAACAAAATAATGCGGGCGAAGGCATCACAATCAGGAGTCCCCCAGACACAACGGAGATTATAACAACAACAACACAAGCAACGAAAGGGGAGGTATCAGGAACTGGAACAGAACACCGGCCTGTCCTCCGCACAACAACAACAAGAATAAGAATGGCACAATGAACAAAAACGGCAACTGACACGCAAGAACGGCCAACGCGCACAACCCAGAAATGTGATGTTTTAGTGCGTGTCCATGTTGCAGTTCCATCCGCTCGGCTCAAGTCCAACGTCAAAGAGCAAGTGGTAGAGCAGAACGACGAACGGTGCTCAATTGCTCCTTCAAGTCCTCATCCAGCTAGCACACCAGGTAACACCCAGTGCGACGGGAGCTGAAGAATCTGTGACGAGAAGGAGAATCCAATCCCCTGAGGCACAGCACAACAACGCACATCCGCATGTCGTACACGACAGCCACCCGGCCTCAGGGTAGTGGAGATGATGTAAATCCAGCCCGCTTAAAAAAAACTCCCCATAAATACCCAAAATAACGCAATGGATGCCCCAGTATTTACATTTTAACAACAATATTATTTACACGTGACAACAACAACAACAAAATTTTCTGCTCTTACCCACCAGCAGTCCTCCCTTGAGGACCAGCACAGACATCGCACGTACACAGCATGTACCCACGGTCACTCTCAGCAACCCAACAAAACGCCTAATCGCACACCCTCGCGTGGAGAGAGCCACGCTCCCCAGCGGTAATGTTTAACTCGCCCTAACCCCCACCGTGGTCGTCAACCCACAGCAACATCCACTGACCATACTCTCAGCTAGTGCAATTTCGGGGATGAGCAGCAACTCGGCCACGCTCCTCCCTTACTATCCCATCAGAGATGGACACACACCAGCCTCGTATAGTCCGATGCTTTATAGCCCAGGGAAGGTTCATCCCCCAGCAATGCCAGACCCCCTGTACTCCCCCCACGGGGCAATGTTCTCTTATAGAGACAATAACACCCTAACCCAGATCCCGTGAGCCCCCGGCACACCAGGTTCAGTCTGCCACCGCACAACTGAACCATGACTCCCCGAGCCATATGAGCACATGGCCCATTAGTTTAAGACATACCACGGAGGTTTCGCCTCCGGGCTGTCAGGTCAGCCATCAGCCATAGCCCGATGTGACCACAACTCGTGCATCACCCAATCAACAATGGCAGGCATAACAGATGGAATATTTGCCCCACCCCGGTTTTTCCCGCGCGCTCAAAATGGCGTCCCCCTTCGCCCAGCGCGTTCGCGCAATCTCTCGCGCGCACTCAAAATGGCGGCCCTTTCCGCAAAGCGCATCGTCGCCATACCCCGCGTGCGCGCAAAATGGCGGCCCAACGTGCGAACACGTGGCCAGTTTTCTCCATTAGTGCACCCCAGCTTCCCTTAGCTGGGGGTCACAAGACGCATCCCCCGTCACGTTATAACAACCCCACCAACGATAGACGCACAGCCCCAGCTTGCTGCGCACAGCTGTCATATCGTGGAATTTTTAACCAATATTTTACCAACCACATTGGTTACACAACCCAACTCGCAAAGCAACTCGTGGCTGCATGCGATCAACCGAATACGCGACGCCACTTGGCGCCAATTTACGATCCCATTAGCATTAACATCTAAACCACCCACAACGGCGTCATCGCGCACCCTCATTCTCAAAAAGCTCAATTACTCCTATAATATACACGCAATCTCGTGTGCACAACACCCATACAACCAAATTTTTGGGTCCCCCTCTATAATATACACGCAATCTCGTGTGCACAACACCCATACAACCAAATTTTATGGTCCCCCTCTATAATATACACGCAATCTCGTGTGCACAACAACCATACAACCAAATTTTTGGGTCCCCCTCGAATTTGTTACCAATTTCCAACAGGTACGCACAATATAATAACAATCCCAATTCCAATAATCAACCACTGCATCGCACCCCATAACCATACAGAACAGTATAACAGCACATACAATCAGCATATTGCGATGCTCCGCTGCAGGCTCTTGGTGCAGCCCTCCGGCTGCCCCCACAGCAGCTCCATCGCTGCTCCCTGTTCCTCCGTGCGTGGCGATCTCGCCACCTCCCCAGTTAGCCCTTCGTGGCCTCTATGGCTACCTCGCCATCTCCAACCTCAATCCTCCATTCTCTCTTCCACCCCGCTGGCTGGCACCGTCATGAGCCCCTCAGCCACCAGGCTGAGGCACGGCGACCACCCAACGTGTTCACCACCCTTCACTCCCCCGACTGCCCCAGATAGCTTCCTGTCTCCCCGCTATAACTTCTCCCCCACGTCACCCTGACTCCTCCCTCTCGGATCGTCATATCCGCCCCGCCCATTTACGCCCGCATTACAAATGGTTAGAGAAAGTGGTGGGGCAAGGGCCGCATACTTACCATATTAATAAAAAGTATGTGGCCCTTGCCCCACCACTTTCATATTAATATGGTAAGTATGCGGCCCTTGCCCCACCACTTTCTCCAACCATTATATAAACGGAGTGGTAGCTCTTGCAATCTCTCATGTACTTGATACGGCTGTCGTGGCTGTGACGGTTCCACCTGAAGACGGAAGCTTGTGTTGCCTCCGAAACGTCGTGATTTTTATTTTATTTTATAATGTTTTTACCTACACGGTGACTTTACCGAAAAAACCTAAGAATATAAACCTCACAAAGCCAAACCGTGCCTTGTGTTCAAGTGCAAGGATTCCCTGAAGACTCCGCCTTCAACCTCGACGCAATAAGCAGTCCTCTTCACATCATTGTGGGTGCCCGTCTTTATTCCGAGTTTAAACCCTTACAACGCATTCAGAACGTGAACTTGAAAAGAAACGCGAACTTGAAGTCAAATGTTTTTAAAGCGCTAAAGTAACGATTCGTAAGCTGTAATAGTTCTCTGAAACGCAACACAGCGCCTCAGTAACACCGTGACCTTGCAACAAAAAACTGATTTTCATCCGCAACATTTCGGACAAAGGAGCTCTTTCACGGCGCGTGGAGAGGCCGGGTGGGTCGAACGGATACGAGTTGGAGACGCCGTTGACCCACCCGACCACTCTGGCTTGTCTGTGCGCTGTGAAGGGCCAGTGGCCCGAAACGTCACATATTTAGTTGATACTCTTAGGCTATTTCGGTAAAGTCACGTAGAAGGGAAGTAATAAAATAATAAAAATAAAACATAAAATACAATTCTCACGACGTTTCGGCCACAACGCAAGCAGCCGTCCTCAGGTGAAGAACAGGTCTGTCGGGGAGACAGCGTCTGAATGAAACATGAATGAAACATTCAGACGCTGTTCTTCACCTGAGGACGGCTGCTTGCGTTGTGGCCGAAACGTCGTGAGAATTATTTTATTATGTTTTATTATTTTATTATTTCCATTCTACGTGACTTTACCGACAGACCTGTTCTCCACCTGAGGACGGCTGCTTGCGTTGTGGCCGAAACGTCGTGAGAATTATTTAATGTTTAATTTTTATTATTTTATTATTTACATTCTACGCGACTTTGGTGGGCCCACCGTAACGACACAAGTGCGTGGCAAAGCGTCTCGCTAAAACATTGCAAATGTGGGGTCTCCGCCCGGAACTCCACCCGCGTCGCCCTGAACCCCAAAATCGCTCCAGCTGAAGGGGAAGCTGGCCCCTTGGCCCTCCTCCTCGGGGTCGCCTTTGTTCCCAGCGGCTTCGGTCAGCGCTCCTGCGTTCGGTAGCACGAAGGGGTTTGCGGGTGGAGAGAGTTGAGGATGGGGGGGGGGGTGTCGTCAATGTGTCCATTGAGCTTAATGCAGTCGCGTTCACGGGGTTGTAAGGACACGACACTCACTAGAGCAGCGGTCGGAAAGCTGTGGCTCGCGAGCCATACACGTGGCTCTTCCGCTGACGGCATGTGGCTCCCAGGCAATTTCGAGTTGGAAAAAAAAAAAAAAAATCAGTTTGGAACTGATTTTAAAATACTTGTGATATTGCTTAATAATACCGTGTCATCTTCTTGGTTCTTTCGGTAAAGTCGCCACGTAGCAGGGAAGTAATAAAATAATAAAATAATAAAACATAATAAAATTATTCTCACGACGTTTCGGCTACAACGCAAGCAGCCGTCCTCAGGTGAAGAATGAGACACTGCCAAGCTTGGAGCTCATATAAAAGCTGGGTTCATTGCTTCTACATACTAGTAACATTCCCTCCCTTTGTTAATGCTACCCCCTGCCCCCTCCCTTGGTGCTGCTGATCCTGCGTAATGCACGGGCATAATATGACTTTGAAACCCCCCCACCCACCTCCTACGCATTTCCCATGAATATGCTAAACTCCTCTTGATATGCACATTCTTTTTGTTAAGGTGCTCTTCTTCCACCTCCAACCCAGCTTATATATAAGCCCCAAGCTTGGCAGTGTCTCATTCTTCACCTGAAGACGGCTGCTTGCGTTGTGGCCGAAACGTCGTGAGAATAATTGTATTATGTTTTATTTTTATTATTTTATTATTTCCCTTCTACGTGACTTTACCGAAAGAACCAAGAAGATGAATCCCTGCAGTCACGAAAGCAGATTTAAATCGCGAATTGCTGAAATATTCACCAAAGTCAAGAACACACACGCACACACACGAGTGTAGGTGGTTGTGTAAGTGCCGTACCGGCTTTAAACATCTCAGCGGCGGTTTCTCCAGCGACTGCATCCAACGGAATCTGTGAAGCAAGAGACACGTGACATTTCATTTTTAGCTGCCACGTATCATTGTTATAAAGACACGTTGGAGCCGAGTGTTACATTCACCGCCGCTGTGTCTCAAGATTCTCATCCTCATGCCCCTTGAAGTTTTTTCTCACCGTACGTAGAGACAATCGAAGGTGCGGGGGGAGGGGGGCGGGTAACAAACTGAACACAAAAAGCAGTAATTCTAGATTTGAAGCTTTCGTGACTGCAAGGATTCATATTCTTAGGTTTTTTCGGTAAAGTCACCGTGTAGGTAAAACATCAAAATTAATAAAAAAGCAGTTCTAAAGAAATGAGCTTTCAATTTAGACAATAATATGTATGAACCTGCGACGCGCAGTGTTCACTATTCTACACTTACGTGATGATGGTTACAAACTGAGTATTCATTGGAAAGATGTGATTAACCATGCAAAAAAGATTTAACTACACTTATTTGGACCATCTTATTTGACAGACAACTATTACAGGTTATTGATAGACAGCCAGTTGCTTGTTTTACCATGTTTAGCTGTTTCTTTTTTCACACTATTGTTACGTAGGCCAGGCTTAGTCACAAACCGTACTTCTCCATAACAAAGGCTCAGCCTCTTAAGCCTCACCTTACCGTATTAATAAAAAAGTATGCGGCCCTTGCCCCACCACCCTCTCCAACCATTATATAAACGGAGTGGTAGCTCTTGCAATCTCTCATTTACTTGATACGGCTGCCGTGGCTGTGACGGTTCCACCTGAAGACGGAGACTTGTGTTGCCTCCGAAACGTCGTGATTTTTATTTTATTTTATTTTTATTAATTTTAATGTTTAACTTACACGGTGACTTTACCGAAAAAAACCTAAGAGTATGAATCCTTGCAGTCGCGAAAGCTTCAAATCTAGAATTGTGTCTAGGAGCTCACTGCCAATGTCCTTGCCTGCTGGCCACAGCGAGAGAACTTCACGAGAGAGTTTGTGCAGCTTTGCTATTCCTTTGATTCCACTCAGTTTGTAACCATCATCACGGTTGAAATTATGTCTGTGTTTGTATATTTGTATGGCTTCGTGTACAAACCTTTGATGGTAGCCAGGAGGTTTGCAGAGAACCTTGGTCTCGGAAAAGACAATTTCATGAGAGCCCACCGAGTTGTGAAATGCCCCCCCAACAGGGGGCTGTTTAGAGTTCATTTTGCCAATCACGGCATGAGCGAGGAACTTGCAGGGGCTGCACCTTTAACTAACATATTTGATTGTTACAAGTCAATTTGATGAATGCATCCTGAGTGTCTAAAAAAAACCCTTCACATCTTGGTGAGCCGTTGCATTGTGATTTTTAGTCTTACGCTGATGTCCCGTCTGTCCAATACAGCATTTACCGCATATGCAATTGATCCGATATACACCTTCTTATTCTTGGTTCTTTCGATAAAGTCACGTAAATAGAAAAGAAAAACATCCAAAAGTGAAAATAATAAGATGAAATAAAAATAATAAAATAAAATACAATTAAATTGAAAATAAGAAAAGCAAAAAAACCCACGACGTTTATCTTATTATTTTATTTTAATTTATTTTAAAATTTTGTTTTCTATTTACGTGACAACTTCTGTTGATAACTTCGTTAATTCATCTTCAGTACGAGACACTAGTTTTAGAATTTTGCCTACCGTAGCCAATCTTTTCTTTTGCAAAACACGGCCTAATTTGTCAGTAACCCCGAGACATACGCCATTCAAATTGTCTTGATAATCCGATCACTTTCAGCAGTATTGTCGTGCGGCGAAAACACGTTTGCCTCGAATACAAAACAACTTACGGAGGCGCCGAATAATGTCAACTCGAAATTTTCCTGCTGCAGCTGCTCCGCCTCCAAGTCGTATCCATCGTCCTGGGAACGCAAAAGTCTCGCGTCGTCATTCCACACGCGCAGCACACCACGCGATGCAGCGATCGACGCCGCCAGTTAGTCCGTGTTCCGATTTAAAGCTTCTTTCGTGACTGCAGCAGGGATTCATCTTCTTGGTTCTTTCGGTAAAGTCATCACGTAGAAGGGAAATAATAAAATAATAGAAATAAAACATAATAAGATACAATTCTCACGACGTTTCGGCCACAACGCAAGCAGCCGTCCTCAGGTGAAGAACAGGTCTGTCGGAAAGACAGCGTCTGAATGAACAGGTCTGTCGGAAAGACAGCGTCTGAATGAACAGGTCTGTCGGAAAGACAGCGTCTGAATGAACAGGTCGGTCGGAAAGACAGCGTCTGAATTAACAGGTCTGTCGGAAAGACAGCGTCTGAATGAACAGGTCGGTCAGAAAGACAGCGTCTGAATTAACAGGTCTGTCGGAAAGACAGCGTCTGAATGAACAGGTCTGTCGGAAAGACAGCGTTTGAACGAACGGGTCTGTCGGAAAGACAGCGTCTGAATGAACAGGTCTGTCGGAAAGACAGCGTCTGAATGAACAGGTCTGTCGGAAAGACAGCGTCTGAATGAACAGGTCTGTCGGAAAGACGGCGTCTGAACGAACGGGTCTGTCGGAAAGGCAGCGTCTGAATGAATAGGTCTGTCGGAAAGACAGCGTTTGAATGAACAGGTCTGTCGGAAAGACAGCGTCTGAATGAACAGGTCTGTCGGAAAGACAGCGTCTGAATGAACAGGTCTGTCGGAAAGACAGCGTCTGAATAAACAGGTCTGTCGGAAAGACAGCGTCTGAATGAACAGGTCTGTCGGAAAGACAGCGTCTGAATGAACAGGTCTGTCGGAAAGACAGCGTCTGAAAGAACAGGTCTGTTGGAAAGACAGCGTCTGAATGAACAGGTCTGTTGGAAAGACAGCGTCTGAATGAACAGGTCTGTCGGAAAGACAGCGTCTGAATGAACAGGTCTGTCGGAAAGACAGCGTCTGAATGAACAGGTCTGTCGGAAAGACAGCGTCTGAATGAACAGGTCTGTCGGAAAGACAGCGTCTGAATGAACAGGTCTGTCGGAAAGACAGCGTCTGAATGAACAGGTCTGTCGGAAAGACAGCGTCTGAATGAACAGGTCTGTTGGAAAGACAGCGTCTGAATGAACAGGTCTGTCGGAAAGACAGCGTCTGAATGAACAGGTCTGTCGGAAAGACAGCGTCTGAATGAACAGGTCTGTCGGAAAGACAGCGTCTGAATGAACAGGTCTGTCGGAAAGACAGCGTCTGAATGAACAGGTCTGTCGGAAAGACAGCATCTGAACGAACAGGTCTGTCGGAAAGACAGCGTCTGAACGAACAGGTCTGTCGGAAAGACAGCGTCTGAACGAACAGGTCTGTCGGAAAGACAGCGTCTGAACGAACAGGTCTGTCGGAAAGACAGCATCTGAACGAACAGGTCTGTCGGAAAGACAGCGTCTGAACGAACAGGTCTGTCGGAAACACAGCGTCTGAATGAACAGGCCTGCCGGAAAGACAGCGTCTGAACGAACAGGCCTGCCGGAGAGACAGCGTCTGAACGGACAGGCCTGCCGGAGAGACAGCGTCTGAACGGACAGGCCTGCCAGAAAGACAGCGTCTGAACGGACAGGCCTGCCGGAGAGACAGCATCTGCACGGACAGGCCTGCCGGAAAGACAGCGTCTGAACGAACAGGCCTGCCGGAGAGACAGCGTCTGAACGGACAGACCTGCTGGAAAGACAGCGTCTGAACGGACAGGCCTGCCGGAGAGACAGCGTCTGAACGGACAGGCCTGCTGGAAAGACAGCGTCTGAACGGACAGGCCTGCCGGAGAGACAGCGTCTGCACGGACAGGCCTGCTGGAAAGACAGCGTCTGAATGGACAGGCCTGCCGGAGAGACAGCGTCTGAACGGACAGGCCTGCTGGAAAGACAGCGTCTGAACGAACAGGCCTGCCGGAGAGACAGCGTCTGCACGGACAGGCCTGCTGGAAAGACAGCGTCTGAATGGACAGGCCTGCCGGAGAGACAGCGTCTGAACGGACAGGTATGTCGGAAAGACAGTGTCTGACACTGTCTTTCCGACAGACCTGTTCTTCACCTGAGGACGGCTGCTTGCATTGTGGCCGAAACGTCGTGAGCATTGTATTGTATCATGTTTTATTTTTATCATTTCATTATTTCCCTTCTACGCGACTTTACCGAAAGAACCAAGAAGATGAGTCCGTGTTACTCATCTGTGCGTGCGAGCGGCGCTCACGTGGCGCGTTGGCTCACGTCACCTGCGCCAGGTTTGTTGCGACGGACATGGGCGAGCCTGGGTACGAGAAGCACGGCGAGTCTGGCGGAAAGCCATCGACGGCGTCCTCTCGCGAGGTTTCCTCATCGTCAGATGATGTCGGGGGCGAGCAGTTCTCCTCTTCCGGATAGTCGCTCCTGCCAAAGAAATACGCGCAAATTAATTGCTGTGCCGTACACGACGTTGAGTGACACCGGGACGTATCCGCCCGTTATCTGGGTGGTGTTGGTGGCTGCGCGCACGCCTGCAATGCAGCACTGGAGGTAGCAAGGGTCGGTGGAAGAGGTCGCAACCGGGTACCCGATACCCGTACCCTACCCGATACCCGGCTACCCGTGCCCGATACCCGTACCCTACCCGATACCCGTACCCTACCCGATACCCGTACCCTACCCGATACCCGTACCCTACTCGATACCCGTACCCTACCCGATACCCGTACCCTACTCGATACCCGTACCCTACTCGATACCCGTACCCTACCCGATACCCGTACCCTACTCGATACCCGTACCCTACCCGATACCCGTACCCTACCCGATACCCGTACCCTACTCGATACCCGTACCCTACCCGATACCCGTACCCTACCCGATACCCGTACCCTACCCGATACCCGTACCCTTCCCGATACCCGTACCCTACCCGATACCCGTACCCTACCTGATACCCGGCTACCCGTACCCAGCCGGGTACGGGTAGCCGGGTACCCGTTTGCGACCCTGGTGCGGCCGGGTACGGGTAGGCCGTGAGTCACTGGTGAGTCACCGTTTGTCACTCATTTCCCAACGTCTTGTCTCTTCTCACAATTCAAGTTCCTAGAATCAACCCACCCGCGCCTGCAACATGGCTTCATCCCAGAGGTCGCAATCAGGTACCCGATACCCGTACCCTACCCGTACCCAGTCGGGTACGGGTAGGGTACGGGTACGGCTGGGTACGGGTACGGGTAAGGAATCAAAACCCGTTTGCGACCTCACGGGGTGACCAGCCCCTCCCCACCCAGCCCCACCCTCCCCACCCAGCCCCTCCACACCCTCCCCACCCAACCCCTCCCCTCCCAGCCCCTCCCCACCCTACCCACCCAGCCCCACTCCTCCTACCCCCCACCCAGACCCACCCTCCCCACCCAGCCCCACCCCTCCCACCCCCCACCCAGCCCCACCCTCCCCACCCAGCCCCTCCACACCCTCCCCACCCAACCCCTCCCCTCCCAGCCCCTCCCCACCCTACCCACCCAGCCCCACTCCTCCTACCCCCCACCCAGACCCACCCTCCCCACCCAGCCCCACCCCTCCCACCCCCCACCCAGCCCCACCCTCCCCACCCAGCCCCTCCCCACCCTCCCCTCTCCACCCAGCCCCACCCCTCCCATTTTTTGATGCACGACGGACGGACACAACAATCCCCTGTGGGCTGGTGTAACCAGGAGGTTCCTACCAGTATTATAGGAAAGCAAAGACCCTCGCCCTCCACAAGCTAAGGCCAGACGAACCCTCCGTGCCGTTCAGTGGCCAACCCAGCCCCCCGCTACTCCCACCGGCACTCTCCGTTGGTCACGGCAAAGTGCGGTGCACGGCCGTCAGTCCCCACCACCCCCCCGGGTTCCTTTCAACTCCCTCGGCCGCTCGTGCGCAAGTCGCTTCCACGTGCTCTTAGTTCTTTCGGTAAAGTCACCATGTAGGTAAAAAAATGAAATTAAAATTATTGTAAAAAAAATCACGACGTTTCGGAGGCGGAAGCTTGCGTTGCCTCCGAAACGTCGTGATTTTTTTATTAACTTCAATTTCATTTTTTTACCTACGCGGTGACTTTACCGAAAGAACCAAGAGTATGAATCCTTGCAGTCGCGAAAGCTTCAAGTCGCTTCCACGTGCTCACCGCTGAGGGCCGAGCGAGCTTGAACGTGTTGCCGTGTGGAATGAGAAAAGTTCGCGAGGCACCGGTCTGTCTCGAACTACGCCATGGCACCTATTCGACACCCGCGCGCAACATTTCTGCGTCCATCCAGCAACCCGCGTTGCCATCACGGTGATGGATTACAGGCCACGCGCCTATCCACCACCACCACCACCACCACCCGGTTATCAATATCACATCGCGAGCTGTTGATTGTTGGGAAATGGGTTACCTTGGGGACATCATGTCATCGTCATGTGCTGCCATGTACTCTTCTTGTGCTTCTACGTCATCTTCTTGTGCTGCGCCATCTCCTGCTGTTATGTCATCTTCTTCTGCTGCACAATCTTCTTGTGCTACACCATCTCCTGCTACATCATCTCCTTCTGTTATGTCATCTTCTTCTGCTGCACAATCTTCTTGTGCTGCACAATCTTCTTGTGCTACACCATCTCCTGCTACATCATCTCCTGCTGTTATGTCATCTCCTTCTGTTATGTAATCTTCTTCTGCTGCACAATCTCCTTGTGCTACACCATCTCCTGCTACATCATCTCCTGCTGTTATGTCATCTCCTTCTGTTATGTAATCTTCTTCTGCTGCACAATCTTCTTGTGCTACACCATCTCCTGCTACACCATCTCCTGCTACACCATCTCCTGCTACATCATCTCCTCCTGCTACATCATCTCCTTCTGTTATGTCATCTTCTTGTGCTACACCATCTCCTGCTACACCATCTCCTGCTACATCATCTTCTTGTGCTGCGCCATCTCCTGCTGTTATGTCATCTCCTTCTGTTATGTCATCTTCTTCTGCTGCACAATCTTCTTGTGCTACACCATCTCCTGCTACATCATCTCCTTGTGCTACATCATCTCCTTGTGCTACACCATCTGCTTGTGCTACATCATCTTCTTGTACTACTAAATCTGCTTGTGCTGCTACACCATCTGCTTGTGCTGCTGTGTGGTATTCCTGTGCTACATCATCTCCTTCTGCTATGTCATCTTCTTGTGCTACACCATCTCCTGCTACATCATCATCTTCTGTTATGTCATCATCTTCTGTTATGTCATCATCTTCTGTTATGTAATCATCTTCTGTTATATAATCATCTTCTGTTATGTCATCATCTTCTGTTATATCATCGCCTTCTGTTATATCATCTCCTCCTGCTACAGCATCTCCTTCTGTTACGCCATCTGCTTGTGCTGCTGTGCCATCTGCTTGTGCTGCTGTGCCATCTGCTTGTGCTGCTGTGTGGTATTCCTGTGCTAATGTGCCATCTCCTCGTGGCGCAGATGTGGAAGGCGTGGCTTGGGAAGAAGATATTTTTCCTCTGGTGGAAGCAGATGACTCGGGACATCCAATTGATTCCTGAATATATAAACAAATAGACACATCGCGATAAACAACACAAGCAAACACCGTGACACACACACACACGTGCCGTCTACCGTTTAACGCGTCAGATGTGCCCATCGGTGATCGCTCGTAATCTTGTCTCGGCGTGTTACGGTCAAATTTCGATTTAAAGCTTCTTTCGTGACTGCAGGGATTCATCTTCTTGGTTCTTTCGGTAAAGTCGTCACGTAGAAGGGAAGTAATAAAATAAAAAAACTAAAACATAATAAAATAATTCTCGCGACGTTTCGGCCACAACGCAAGCAGCCGTCCTCAGGTGGAGAACAGTCTACTTGACGGACCTGTTCTCCACCTGAGGACGGCTGCTTGCGTTGTGGCCGAAACGTCGTGAGAATTATTTAATTGTGTTTTATTTTTATTATTTTATTACTTCCCTTCTACGTGGTGACTTTACCGAAAGAACCAAGAAGATGTTACGGTCGTTAAACGTCTCGCCTCGCTCGATTTCGAACTCAAGATTTCTCCGCCGTTAATTCTTCGCAACCAAAGGACCCCCTCGCCAAAAACCCCGCGGGCAAATCGGCTCGTAGCGACGCTCCCAAGAATGTAACGACGAGGGAGGATTTGAGTGCGTAGGGCCCCCTTGCTACACCGACTCCTGAGTAGCTTCAAGCGCCACTCATTGCATCCCGTCGCTGCCGTCGGCAGTCTGGCCAAGGGGGCACCCCCACTGGCAGCTGTCCCTGTGTGGCACGAGGTGTACCACAGCAGCGGCGAGCGAGTGGGAGGTCATTTGACAGTCTTCGATTTCATTCGAGGCTATTTTGAAACGAGGACCGAGGGGGGTGGGCCAGTCTGCGGCCCGCAATTGAAAGGTCACGAGTTCAACCGCTGATTGGATTGCCGACTAAGCCCATCATCATCATCATCCCTCTCTCCGCGCTGTAATGAGTTAATGAGGACGTCACCCTGCTGCTGCTGCTGCTCTATATAAGAACGGGAGACACAGCAGAGACCCTCAACATTCTGGCGAATTGTGCGATGATGATGCTGGATGCAATTACCAGCGAAACGTCACAGCGCTACTCAAATAGTAAATTGTTGTGGTTTCACGCTTCAACACACACCGGTGTGGGGGCTAAAGCAGTGAACTATTTTGTCTTTTGTCAACGTGACACTTTTTTACTGATTGGCCGTGTCGGGTGGTGGAGGGTTACGACACAGTTATAAATAACGCGGCGATCTAAACCCAAACACGTTGATTGTGAATAAAATAATAACGATAACCACCAGACAGACAGGGAAGCCAATAAGTGGTTGGTCCTATGGAGGGACTCACCCTCACCATAGGATCACGTGGGATTTCCAGCATTGGCGTCGGTACGGGATTGGTGTCTGGCTGTAGAACTTTGGGGTACCTGATAATTGGTTTTTTACCCTTCTACCTGGCAACAAAACTGACACCTTTTTACAAGGATAATGTGCACATTATCAGAGTTATGTCTTTTGTTTGTATTATGACTGCAGGTATTGTGGTCTATGCAAGCATGACTCCTTGTAAAAAAAAGGTGTCAGTTTTGTTGCCAGGTAGAAGGGTAAAAAAACAATTATCATATTTTTACTGGCAAATGAGGTTCCCATAGTGTAGATGTTTGCCCCGAGCTCTCATACTCTGATGGTGCGTTGTCTTTGAGTTGTGCGTCTTTTGGCGTCATCTGGTCTAACCCATGTGAGACTAGGCTCTAAGGAAAGCTGTCTCGGGTGTGGACCAATCAACTTCAAGGACCATGTGAGACTAGGCTCTAAGGAAAGCTGTCTCGGGTGTGGACCAATCAACTTCAAGGACCATGTGAGACTAGGCTCTAAGGAAAGCTGTCTCGGGTGTGGACCAATCAACTTCAAGGACCATGTGAGACTAGGCTCTAAGGAAAGCTGTCTCGGGTGTGGACCAATCAACTTCAAGGACCATGTGAGACTAGGCTCTAAGGAAAGCTGTCTCGGGTGTGGACCAATCAACTTCAAGGACCATGTGAGACTAGGCTCTAAGGAAAGCTGTCTCGGGTGTGGACCAATCAACTTCAAGGACCATGTGAGACTAGGCTCTAAGGAAAGCTGTCTCGGGTGTGGACCAATCAACTTCAAGGACCATGTGAGACTAGGCTCTAAGGAAAGCTGTCTCGGGTGTGGACCAATCAACTTCAAGGACCATGTGAGACTAGGCTCTAAGGAAAGCTGTCTCGGGTGTGGACCAATCAACTTCAAGGACCATGTGAGACTAGGCTCTAAGGAAAGCTGTCTCGGGTGTGGACCAATCAACTTCAAGGACCATGTGAGACTAGGCTCTAAGGAAAGCTGTCTCGGGTGTGGACCAATCAACTTCAAGGACCATGTGAGACTAGGCTCTAAGGAAAGCTGTCTCGGGTGTGGACCAATCAACTTCAAGGACAGTGCATATATTATCAGAGTTATGTCTTTTGTTTGCATTACGACTGCAGGTATTGCTGTCTATACAAACATGACTCCTTGTAAAAAGGTGTCAGTTTTGTTGCCAGATAGAAGGGTAAAAACCAATTATCATATTTTTACTGGCAAATGAGGTTCCCATAGTTTGCGGTACCTGATTCATCCACAGGGGGTTGGCGGTGCCGGTCTCGGGCTCCATGTGGTCTGTGTCCATTGCTTCGTCTTCATCTTCTACTTCTTCTTCTTAAAGACACAAAAGTTACGAGCACAAGTCAGATCTGAAACACGGCAGAACTGATTCTTCGGCCGTTGCCGATCATTGCTACAACTCGGTGGGCTCTCATGAAATTGTCTTTTCCGAGACCAAGGTTCTCTGCAAACCTCCCGGCTACCATCAAGGGTTTGTACACGAAGCCATACAAATATACAAACACAGACATAATTTCAACCGTGATGATGGTTACAAACTGAGTAGCCATTGGAAAGATGTGATTAACCGTGCAAAAAAGATTGAACTACACTTATTTGGCCAATCTTATTTGACAGACAACTACTACAGGTTATTGATAGACAGCCAGGCTTGTTTTACCATGTTTTAGTTTGTTTCTTTTTTCACACTATTGTTACGTAGGCCAGGCTTAGTCACAAACCGTACCTCTCCATAACAAAGGCTCAGCCTCTCAAGCCTCGCCTTACCATATTAATAAAAGTATGCGGCCCTTGCCCCACCACCCTCTCCAACCATTATATATACGGAGTGGTAGCTCTTGTAATTTCTCATTTACTTGATACAGCTGTCGTGGCTGTGACGGTTCCACCTGAAGACGGAAGCTTGTGTTGCCTCCGAAACGTCGTGATTTTTATTTTACTCTTATTAATTTTAATGTTTTACCTACACGGTGACTTTACCGAAACAACCTAAGAATAAAAGCTACTTTGTTTAACCCGTAGGCTTTCGCGACCATGTCTGTCGCTTACCCTATTAGTAATCCAACCGGTAACGGATATCCATTCTGATTGCGATGGACGTGTAGTGGTGGTAACTACTCGCTGTTCGCAAACTGTGAGAGCTGATCGTAAACAAGGTTTTCCCGCTCGATCAAACGGTCAGGGTCAGATGGGGCGAGGTAGGATCCAAACGCCAGATTGGGAAGGACCAATCGGAGGGTCCCACAAGGTGGCCGGGGATTGGACAACGCGGCCACGAACAAAAGCCGGAGCGCTGAGAGCTCTGGAGGAGTTCTGCTACACGAAGACCCAAGTCGGCCGAAGACGTCTAGGACCCTGGACCAAGCCGTCCAGCCCTCGTCAGGGCTCGGGCTCAGAGTCACCAGCGGTCGGGGAGAGATCCCCTAGGTCAGGGGTCGGGAACCTTGTTGACTGGGAGAGCCATAAAAGCCAAATATTTCTAAATATTTTTCATTGAGAGCCATATAGTGTAATTTTTAACGTGTAATAAATTAAATATGTCTTACTTTTAATGTGACTTCTGGTCACGGGACCCGTGACCCGATAAATTTTATCTTCAAAACTAATTTCTATTTACTTTAAAATGACACACTATTATTAAGCAAATATCACAAGTATTTTAAAATCAGTTCCAAACAGATTTTATTTATTTATTTATTTATTTATTCAACTCAAAATTGTCTGGGAGCCATATGCCGTCACCGGAAGAGCCATGTGTATGGCTCGCGGGCCATAGGTTCCCGACCGCTGCCCTAGGTCCAGCCAGAGGACGCTGGGAGAGCAGGGAGATTAGACAGTCTGCATGGTCCGGAGACTTGTACCTTCTGAGGGTAACGGGTGAGGGGACCGTATACCCCCTTAGTGTGATAGGGGCTGTGCGTTAATATAATAAACAGCGTGTGCCATAAAGAAGTCCAGAAGTCCGTCCTTACAACACTACACACGCATTAACCCTCCCACACCTCTGGTCTTCGCACCGGATTGGCCCACACAAGTGACGATGTCACACTGATCCCCTCTATTTGAGACCGAAACACGAGGAGAATTTCTCCACGACTCTGCGGCTGTCGCCTGATGATGCCGGGTGTTGTGATTACCGGCGAAACGTCACAGCTACTCGAATCGTAAATGTTGTGAGCTGACTCTCCGACACAACATTACGCTGAACTAGTAACGAGTTGGCGCGCTTTCTTTACGTGGCAAACCTTCCCACTCGGCTGAACTAGTAACGAGTTGGCGCGCTTTCACTACGTGGCAAACCTTCCCACTCGGCTGAACTAGTAACGAGTTGGCGCGCTTTCTTTACGTGGCAAACCTTCCCACTCGGCTGAACTAGTAACGAGTTGGCGCGCTTTCTTTACGTGGCAAACCTTCCCACTCGGCTGTATTGGGCGGGTTATGGTTAGGGTTGTGATTACCGGCGAAACGTCACAGCTACTGGAATTGTAAATGTTGTGAGTTGACTCTCCAACACACCAGTGCGCTGAACTAGTAACGAGTTGGCGCGCTTTATTTACGTGGCAAACCTTCCCACTCGGCTGAACTAGTAACGAGTTGGCGCGCTTTCACTACGTGGCAAACCTTCCCACTCGGCTGTATTGGGCGGGTTATGGTTAGGGTTGTGATTACCGGCGAAACGACACAGCTACGCGAATTGTAAATGTTGTGAGCTGACTCTCCAACACACCAGTGCGCTGAACTAGTAACGAGTTGCCGCGCTTTCACTACGTGGCAAACCTTCCCACTCGGCTGTATTGGGTGGGTTATGGTTCGGATTACCGGCGAAACGTCACAGCTACTCGAATTGTAAATGTTGTGAGCTCACTGTCCAACACACCAGTGCGCTGAACTAGTAACGAGTTGGCGCGCTTTCACTACGTGGCAAACCTTCCCACTCGGCTGTATTGGGCGGTGGCGGGTTTAACGACGCGCGCATATTTACGCGATCAAACACGAAAATCACGGAACAGCTTCGGTCGTTCGGCACGCGAACAGCTGTCGCCACCAATGACAATCGGCATAAAGATACGGGGCAAAGTTTAATCGAGTATATAATTACAATAACACCGCCTCACATCGTTGCACCTGATGAGTTAATGAGTCAATGATGACGTCACTATATAAGCAGCAGGGTGACGTCATCGCTAGTTAGTGATGACGTCACCCTGCTGCTGCTGCTCTATACAAGCAGCAGGGTGACGTCATCACTAGTTAATGATGACGTCACCCTGCTGCTCTATATAAGCAGCAGGATGACGTCATCGCTAGTGAATGATGACGTCACCCTGCTGCTCTATATAAGCAGCAGGTGACGTCATCACTAGTTAACGATGACGTCACCCTGCTGCTGCTGCTCTATACAAGCAGCAGGGTGACGTCATCGCTAGTTAGTGATGACGTCACCCTGCTGCTGCTGCTCTATATAAGCAGCAGGGTGACGTCATCACTAGTTAGTGATGACGTCACCCTGCTGCTGCTGCTCTATATATAAGCAGCAGGGTGACGTCATCACTAGTTAACGATGACGTCACCTGCTGCTGCTGCTCTATATAAGCAGCAGGGTGACGTCATCACTAGTCAACGATGACGTCACCCTGCTGCTGCTGCTGCTTATATAGAGCAGCAGGGTGACGTCATCACTAGTGATGACGTCATCACTAGTGAATGATGACGTCACCTGCTGCAGCTGCTGCTGCTGCCGCTCTATATAAGAACGGGAGACACAGCAGAGCCCCTCAAGATTCTGGCGAATTGTGCGATGATGCTGCTGGATGCAATTACCAGCGAAACGTCACAGCGCTACTCAAATAGTAAACGTTGTGGTTTCACGCTTCAACACACACCGGTGTGGGGGCTAAAGCAGCGAACTAATTTGTCTTTTGTCAACGTGACACTGTTTTACCGATTGGCCGTGTCGGGTGGTGGAGGGTTACGACACATTTATAAATAACGCGGCGATCTAACACCCAAACATGTTGATTGTGAACACGGGGAAAAGGTCACGAGGGAAATAAAAACTATCTGCAAGTAAGAAAAACTACACGCAAATAAACGTACGCACATTTCAGCGGGTTACGGGACGTCCCGTATGACGACGGGGTTTCGCGTGGCCAGGTCTAGCCCGCCACGAGTAGCCACGAGTGTGATCGCACAGCGCCCACAGACCCCTTGCGTACGTACCCATGTCGCGTGCTTCTTGGGCCGTCTTTGTAGGCGCCCCTCGTCTGTTGTGACGCCTGTGAAGACAGCGCAGCCTCGTCACCGCCAATCGAGCTCAGGTCGACAGGAAGCGACGTTTGCCTTGCGGTCAAAACGTCGTCGTTTTTTTAAAACCCTTTATATTAAGTTCGCTTGCTTGCTTTGCTAACGACCGTGCAAATCCTTCGGTCGTTTTTTAACCCACTTCCCGTGATCCAATCGAGCTGACATTTTGCTACACAGACTCGTTGTGCGAGACAATTAATGTTCGTGAATTTTTTTTCTCCAAAATTTTACACTGTTTAGGGAAAACAAATTAAATATTTAATTACCAATTGCTTAATGGTGGCATGCAATCATCTGACCCATAGGTGGCAGCCATCTCAAGCCAGAGGACGAGAGGACTCTAGCCGCCACGCATATAAAGGATTTATAGTGAAAAACTTTGTTTTTACGGGTTACACTTATTGTTATTTTCTAACTGAACACATTCATAAATTATGTTGATGCGTTGCGATCGAAACGTCGTGGGTTTTTTGCTTTAATAATTTTCAATTGATTATTATTATTATTTTTCTTATTTTTATTTAATTTTATTATTTTTAATTGTATTTTCTATCTACCCGACTTCACCGAAAGACCCAAAGAATATGGATTCCTGAAGTCACGAAAGCTTTAAGTCAAGATCCAGTTCTGACCGTTCTCAAGTAAATCCGCCTATTCGAACTTACTTGGTGTCACCCCTGGGACACCCTTGCGAATGGAACGCTTGCAGCTCATGCGATTTTCCACGTGATATGATAACAACGGTGTGTACAGGCAGTCCCCGACTTACGACTCTCACTACAACAACACGCACAGACAGTCCCCGACTTACGACTCTCACTATAACAACATGCACAGACAGTCCCCGACTTACGACTCTCACTATAACAACATGCACAGACAGTCCCCGACTTACGACTCTCACTATAACAACATGCACAGACAGTCCCCTACTTACGACTCTCACTATAACAACATGCACAGACAGTCCCCTACTTACGACTCTCACTACAACAACATGTACAGACAGTCCCCTACTTACGACTCTCACTATAACAACACGCACAGACAGTCCCCGACTTACGACTCTCACTATAACAACATGCACAGACAGTCCCCGACTTACGACTCTCACTATAACAACATGCACAGACAGTCCCCGACTTACGACTCTCACTACAACAACATGCACAGACAGTCCCCTACTTACGACTCTCACTATAACAACATGCACAGACAGTCCCCGACTTACGACTCTCACTATAACAACATGCACAGACAGTCCCCGACTTACGACTCTCACTATAACAACATGCACAGACAGTCCCCGACTTACGACTCTCACTATAACAACATGCACAGACAGTCCCCTACTTACGACTCTCACTATAACAACATGCACAGATAGTCCCCGACTTACGACTCTCACTATAACAACATGCACAGACAGTCCCCTACTTACGACTCTCACTATAACAACATGCACAGACAGTCCCCGACTTACGACTCTCACTATAACAACATGCACAGACAGTCCCCGACTTACGACTCTCACTATAACAACATGCACAGACAGTCCCCGACTTACGACTCTCACTATAACAACATGCACAGACAGTCCCCGACTTACGACTCTCACTATAACAACATGCACAGACAGTCCTCTACTTACGACTCTCACTATAACAACATGCACAGACAGTCCCCTACTTACGACTCTCACTACAACAACACGCACAGACAGTCCCCGACTTACGACTCTCACTATAACAACACGCACAGACAGTCCCCTACTTACAATTCTCACAATAACAACATGTACAGACAGTCCCCGACTTACGACTCTCACTATAACAACATGCACAGACAGTCCCCTACTTACGACTCTCACTATAACAACATGCACAGACAGTCCCCTACTTACGACTCTCACTATAACAACACGCACAGACAGTCCCCTACTTACGACTCTCACTATAAAAACATGCACAGACAGTCCCCGACTTACGACTCTCACTATAACAACATGCACAGACAGTCCCCTACTTACGACTCTCACTATAACAACATGTACAGACAGTCCCCGACTTACGACTCTCACTATAACAACACGCACAGACAGTCCCCTACTTACGACTCTCACTATAACAACATGCACAGACAGTCCCCGACTTACGACTCTCACTATAAAAACATGCACAGACAGTCCCCGACTTACGACTCTCACTATAACAACATGCACAGACAGTCCCCTACTTACGACTCTCACTATAACAACATGTACAGACAGTCCCCGACTTACGACTCTCACTATAACAACACGCACAGACAGTCCCCTACTTACGACTCTCACTATAACAACATGCACAGACAGTCCCCGACTTACGACTCTCACTATAACAACATGCACAGACAGTCCCCTACTTACGACTCTCACTATAACAACATGTACAGACAGTCCCCGACTTACGACTCTCACTATAACAACATGCACAGACAGTCCCCTACTTACGACTCTCACTATAACAACATGCACAGACAGTCCCCGACTTACGACTCTCACTATAACAACATGCACAGGCAGTCCCCTACTTACGACTCTCACTATAACAACATGTACAGGCAGTCCCCGACTTACGACTCTCACTATAACAACATGCACAGGCAGTCCCCTACTTACGACTCTCACTATAACAACATGCACAGGCAGTCCCCGACTTACGACTCTCACTATAACAACACGCACAGACAGTCCCCGACTTACGACTCTCACTACAACACGCACAGACAGTCCCCGACTTACGACTCTCACTATAACAACATGCACAGACAGTCCCCGACTTACGACTCTCACTATAACAACATGTACAGGCAGTCCCCGACTTACGACGGAGATGCGTTACGATGACCCCATCATCGTAAGTCGAAAATTTCGTAAGTCGAAGATGGCCTATAGCCTACCCAGGAGTCTTACAGAACGGTGATAATTTAGCAACACAGAGCAATTTACAATACCGTACTGTATAAACTATATACTGTGTGTACTTATTAATTACAATACTGTATTGCACGGTAAAATGTAAACTAAAAAACAATAACCACAATACTTGCAGTCAAATGCAAACAAAAAACACAATACTCTGATAATGTATGCGTTGTCCTTGCAAATGATTGGTCCACACCAGAGACAGCTTTCTTTGGAGCCTAGTCTCATATGGTGTTCGACCAGATGACGCCAATGCATAAATTATCAGAGTATTGTGTTTTTGTTTGCATTTGACTGCAAGTATTGTGGTTAATGTAAGCATGAGTCCTCGCAAAATGTGTCAGTTTTGCCAGAAAAAAGGGGAAAACTCTATGAGTATATGTTGGTACTGGCAAAGGAGGTCCCATGATGTAGCTGCTCTACCCCGAGCTCTCATTACTCTGATGGTGCGTTGTCTTGAACTGTGTAACGCCTTTTGGCGTCGTCTGGTCGAACACCATATGAGACTAGGCTCTAAAGAAAGCTGTCTCTGGTGTGGACCAATCAGTTTCAAAGACAATGCATCAATTAATGATCAGAGTGTTGTTTTTTGTTTGCATTTGACTGCAACTATTGTGTTTAATGTAGACATGATTCCTTGCAAAAGGTGTCAGTTTTGCCAGGAAAAGGGGTTAAACCCCTATGAGTATATGTTGGTACTGGCAAAGGAGGTCCCATAATGTAGCTGCTCACCCCGAGCTCTCGTTACTATGATGGTGCGTTGTCTTTGAACTGTGTAACGCCTTTTGGCGTCGTCTGGTCGAACACCGTATGAGACTAGGCTCTAAAGAAAGCTGCCTCTGGTGTGGACCAATCAGTTTCAAAAACAATGCATCAATTAATGATCAGAGTGTTGTTTTTTGTTTGCATTTGACTGCAACTATTGTGTTTAATGTAGACATGATTCCTTGCAAAAGGTGTCAGTTTTGTTGGCAGATAAAAGGGTGGAAAACCCTCCCTGTTAGTACCAGTGGTCATTCTTCGCCGGGGGTAGATGCGCCCCCCTGGGGGATACGAGATTATCTTTCTTGCCAAGACGTGGCCGGATGTTTGTAGAAGGTTAAATCATCGAAACACTTTGTTTCATCAACCCCTATGTGTTTTATTCTTTGGTTCTTTCGGTGAAGTCACGTCTAAAGATAAAGTAATAAGTTAAATAATAGCATTTTACGACGTTTCGATTGCAACACAATCATCATCATCGGGCATAAAAGAAATAGCAACAAAAATCTAACTAGAAAACTATAGACAGACATACAAGCAGACAGACATCACAAGGACACACAGAGAGAGAGGATGTCTGTCTGCTTGTATGTCTGTTTATAGTTTTCTAGTTAGATTTTTGTCGCTATTTCTTTTATGCCCGATGATGATTACGATTGCTTGTGTTGCAATCGAAACGTCGTAATATGCTATTATTTAATGTATTATTTTATTTTTCGATTTAAAGCTTCTTTCGTGACTGCAGGGATTCATCTTCTTGGTTCTTTCGGTAAAGTCACGTAGAAGGGAAGTGATATTATATTATTACATTATTATTTTATTATGTTTTATTATTATTTTATTATTATTTTATCTCTAGACGTGACTTCACCGAAAGAACCAAAGAATAATTCTTGCAGTCACGAAAGCTCCAAAATTAAGATTGAACCCCTATGTGTTTATTGACACGAGACAAAAATTACGAATTTCAAACCACAGGGGCGCAAGGCTGCGGTGACGGCAAAGAACCGCTGCATTCAAGCGAAGCCAACTAGGATTCACGAGTGGACGCCAAGTGAGAAATGGCTCACCTCATCCAGTCCGTAATCCACGGAGGGAGTTCTTTCATGATGGCGAGCGGCGCTTTGCTCCATCGAGGTGTGGGAAAACGGGTGACACTCCAGCCGCTGCCACCTGCAACTCCCTAAGAAAAAATACAAATGGCATCATCCCTCTGTATTGTAATATAATGTTGGGGACGCGTCTTTCAATGCCGTATCTGTTTGTGTATATCTGCGTGCGTGTGAGTGCCGGGTGGCTAAAGCACAGCAAGTTGGCACAGTAGGGGGCACAGGTGGTGCATCAGCCAGTCATCTCAGTCATCTCAGAGCGCCGGGTGGCTAAAGCACAGCAAGTTGGCACAGTAGGGGGCACAGGTGGTGCATCAGCCAGTCGTCTCAGTCATCTCAGTCATCTCAGAGCGCCGGGTGGCTAAAGCACAGCAAGTTGGCACAGTAGGGGGCACAGGTGGTGCATCAGCCAGTCGTCTCGGTCATCTCGGTCATCTCGGTTATCTCAGTCATCTCAGTCATCTCAGAGCGCCGGGTGGCTAAAGCACAGCAAGTTGGCACAGTAGGGGGCACAGGTGGTGCATCAGCCAGTCGTCGTGGCACCGATGACTGGTACCAGCGGTGTCAAGATCGGCCTCTGTGGAGGAGGCTCGTGAAGGACGCTACTGGGCAGTTGGAGGCAGTCGCCCTCCAACAACAACGGAGGGCGGAGGAGCGACGCTCACAACAACGAGCGGAGCGCCGGGTGGCTAAAGCACAGCAAGTTGGCACAGTAGGGGGCACAGGTGGTGCATCAGCCAGTCGTCTCGGTCATCTCGGTCAGTCGACCCGTGGCACCTGCTGGGTCTGCCCCGTGACCTCCTGCCAGCGGGCGTTCGACACTTCACGTGGCAGCCTCAAGGTGCACATGGCCTGGCACAAGCGTCGTGGTGACGTCACCGCCACTTAGTGGCGAATGGCGGTTGTTGTTGTTGTGTGTGTGTGATGTCTGTGTATCTGTGTTGTGTGTGTCTGTGTGTGTGGGGAGCAGTAGCACAGCGATCAGCGCTGGACTGTGCTTATCAACTCAGCGACCCAAGCTCAATTCCCGTTCACGACCAACAACGCCGGCGTGTTTATATTTGAATCGGTCCTGGGCTTCCCCTCGGTCGACTCAGCCTTAAACGGACACCTGGTGCGGTATGCGAACGTCAGCATTTGGGGGAGACAAAGGCGGCCTGGTGCGGTTGTTACCCAAACACCGTGACGCCCCGACAGGTCTTCGCCAACAGCACTTGCCCCAACAGCCCGTGTAGGCTACACGGGGGACATTTGTGTAACTTAACCGACACCAGGCATCTGATAACCTTGAGAACACACAAAATGGGGGTGTTTTTTTTTAGGGGGGGGGGGGGATTGTTAAGTTGCCCAAAATATATTTTGTAAAGTCACGTAGAAGGGAAATAATAAAAATAAAACAATAAAATACAATTCTCGCGACGTTTCGGCCACAACGCAAGCAGCCGTCCTCAGGCGAAGAACAGGTCTGTCGGAAAGACAGCGTCTGAATGAACAGGTCTGTCGGAAAGACAGTCGGAAAGACAGACCTGTTCATTCAGACGCTGTCTTTCCGACAGACCTGTTCATTCAGACGCTGTCTTTCCGACAGACCTGTTCATTCAGACGCTGTCTTTCCGACAGACCTGTTCATTCAGACGCTGTCTTTCCGACAGACCTGTTCATTCAGACGCTGTCTTTCCGACAGACCTGTTCATTTAGACGCTGTCTTTCCGACAGACCTGTTCATTTAGACGCTGTCTTTCCGACAGACCTGTTCATTCAGACGCTGTCTTTCCGACAGACCTGTTCATTCAGACGCTGTCTATCCGACAGACCTGTTCATTCAGACGCTGTCTTTCCGACAGACCTGTTCATTCAGATGCTGTCTTTCCGACAGACCTGTTCATTCAGACGCTGTCTTTCCGACAGACCTGTTCTTCACCTGAGGACGGCTGCTTGCGTTGTGGCCGAAACGTCGTGAGAATTGTATCTTATTATGTTTTATTTTTATTATTTTATTATTTCCCTTCTACGTGGTGACTTTACCGAAAGAACCAAGAAGATGAATCCCTGCAGTCACGAAAGCTTTAAATCGAAATATATTTTGTAGGTATGTGTGTGTTTTTGTCAAACAGCTGATGATTACCTCGTCGAATGGTTTTATGGGTTGAAGAGGTCTCTGAGGCTTCGTGAGCGGCGCCTGCTGCTGCGTGGAATCCAGATGCTCTTCTGGCGAAGGAGAGAAAAACACAACGCAACTCGGCAAACAATACGCGCGCGCGTTCGTTCCATTGCAAGTGACACCGAAATAGCGGATTTAACTACCTCGCCTGGTGTACAGGAGGTCGTGGGTTCGATCCCGACCCTGACGCCTGCTGCTGTATATTTGGAGTTTGCGTGTCTCTCTCTCTCTCATCATCATCACGGTGGCTAGGAGATGTTGACTACCTCGCCTGGTATACAGGAGGTCGTGGGTTCGATCCCGACCCTGACGCCTGCTGCTGTATATTTGGAGTCTGCGTGTCTCTCTCTCTCATCATCATCACGGTGGCTAGGAGATGTTGACTACCTCGCCTGGTGTACAGGAGGTCGTGGGTTCGATCCCGACCCTGACGCCTGCTGCTGTATATTTGGAGTTTGCGTGTCTCTCTCTCTCACGGCCTACCCGTACCCTACCCGAAATTAGTGACAAACGGTGACTCACCAGTGACTCAGGGCCTACCCGTACCCGGCCGCACCAGGGTCGCAAACGGCTACCCGTACCCGGCTGGGTACGGGTAGCCGGGTATCGGGTAGAGTACAAGTATCGGGTAGAGTACGGGTATCGGGTAGGGTACGGGTATCGGGTAGGGTACGGGTATCGGGTAGGGTACGGGTATCTGGTAGGGTACAGGTATCGGGTAGGGTACGGATATCGGGTAGGGTACGGATATCGGGTAGGGTACGGATATCGGGTAGGGTACGGATATCGGGTAGAGTACTGGTATCGGGTAGGGTATCGGGTAGGGTACGGGTATCGGGTACGGGTATGGGTAGGGTACGGGTATCGGGTAGGGTACGGTATCGGGTAGGGTACGGGTATCGGGTAGGGTACGGGTATCGGGTAGAGTACGGGTATCGGGTAGGGTACGGGTATCGGGTAGGGTACGGGTATCGGGTAGGGTACGGGTATCGGGTAGGGTACGGGTATCGGGTAGGGTACGGGTATCGGGTAGGGTACGGGTATCGGGTAGGGTACGGGTATCGGGTAGGGTACGGGTATCGGGTAGGGTACGGTATCGGGTAGGGTACGGGTATCGGGTAGGGTACGGGTATCGGGTAGGGTACGGGTATCGGGGTACGGGTATCGGGTAGGGTACGGGTATCGGTTAGGGTACGGGTATCGGGTAGGGTACGGGTATCGGGTAGGGTACGGGTATCGGGTAGGGTACGGGTATCGGGTAGGGTACGGGTATCGGGTAGGGTACGGTATCGGGTAGGGTACGGGTATCGGGTAGGGTACGGGTATCGGGTAGGGTACGGGTATCGGGTAGGGTACGGGTATCGGGTAGGTACGGGTATCGGTAGGGTACGGTTATCGGGTAGGGTTACGGGTATGCGGGTAGGGTCGGTATCGGGTAGGGTACGGGTATCGGGTAGGGTACGGGTATCGGGTTAGGGTACGGGTAGCGGGTCACGGGTACGGGTATCGGGTAGAGGTACGGGTATCGGTGGTACGGGACTGATCGGGTAGGGGTAGGGTATCGGGGTAGGGTACGGGTACGGGTAGGGGGATCGGGTTAGGGTACGGTATCGAGGTAGGGTACGGGTATCGGGAGAGGACGGGTAATCGGGGTAGGGGTACGGGTATCGGGTAGGGTACGGTATCGGTAGAGGTACGGGTATCGGGGAGGGTACGGGTATCGGGTAGAGGTACGGGTATCGGGTAGGGGGTAGGCCGGTATCGAGATAGGGTAACGGGTATCGGGTAGAGTACGGTATCGGGTAGGGTGACGGGTATCGGGTAGAGGTACGGGGTATCGGGTAGGGTACGGGTAAGAAGGGTAGGTACGGGTATCGGTAGAGTACGGGTATCGGGTAGGGTACGGGTATCGAGTAGGGTACGGGTATCGGGTAGAGTACGGGTATCGGGTAGGGTACGGGTATCGGGTAGAGTACGGGTATCTGGTAGGGTACGGGTATCGGGTAGGGTATCGGGTAGGGTAGCCGGGTATCGGGTAGGGTACGGGTATCGGGTAGGGTAGCCGGGTATCTGGTAGGGTACGGGTATCGGGTAGGGTATCGGGTAGGGTAGCCGGGTATCGGGTAGGGTACGGGTATCGGGTACCCGGTTGCGACCTCTGCGCTCAGGTCACCAATAACCCAAATAAAACTCACCGGGCTCTTGCAAGTCGAGTGGAGGTTGAGTTTCCCCCGCGGTGTCCCCTTGCCTCGTGGACTCCTCGTGCCTCGCGGACTCCTCCTGATCTTGCGGAAGAGCCGCTTGTAGAACCTGCTCGCTTCCGCTGCAGAGCGCGCGCGTGGTGTGTGTGGTTGCGAGTGTGGGTCACAATCGTTCGCCAATAAGGTCCACGGTGCGTCATGAACGCTGTTCTGTGGATATACTGTCAGTCACCAAGTGGATCCCCTGTGGGGCATTGTGGCTGGTTATGTTCCTGCTGCTGCTGCTACATTCCTACTTCCCATAGACTCACTCACACAGAGACCCATAGACTCACCACACAGAGACCCATAGACTCATCACACAGAGACCCACAGACTCATCTTATAGAGACCCAGACTCATCACACAGAGACCCGCAGACTCACCACACAGAGACCCATAGACTCATCACACAGAGACCCATAAACTCATCACAGAGACCCATAGACTCATCTTATAGAGACCCAGACTCATCACATAGATACCCACAGACTCACCACACATAGACCCACAGACTCACCACACAGAGACCCACAGACTCACCACACAGAGACCCATAGACTCACCACACAGAAACCCACAGACGCATCACACAGAGACCCATAGACTCACCACACAGAGACCCACAGACTCATCACACAGAGACCCATAGACTCACCACACAGAGACCCACAGACTCACCACACAGAGACCCACAGACTCATCACACAGAGACCCATAGACTCACCACACAGAGACCCATAGACTCATCATACAGAGACCCATAGACTCACCACACAGAGACCCATAGACTCATCACACAGAGACCCACAGACTCATCTTATAGAGACCCAGACTCATCACACAGAGACCCGCAGACTCACCACACAGAGACCCATAGACTCATCACACAGAGACCCATAGACTCATCACAGAGACCCATAGACTCATCTTATAGAGACCCAGACTCATCACATAGAGACCCACAGACTCACCACACATAGACCCACAGACTCACCACACAGAGACCCACAGACTCACCACACAGAGACCCATAGACTCACCACACAGAGACCCATAGACTCACCACACAGAGACCCACAGACTCACCACACAGAGACCCATAGACTCACCACACAGAAACCCACAGACGCATCACACAGAGACCCACAGACTCACCACACAGAGACCCACAGACTCATCACACAGAGACCCATAGACTCACCACACAGAGACCCACAGACTCACCACACAGAGACCCACAGACTCATCACACAGAGAACCCATAGACTCACCACACAGAGACCCATAGACTCATCATACAGAGACCCATAGACTCACCACACAGAGACCCATAGACTCATCACACAGAGACCCACAGACTCATCTTATAGAGACCCAGACTCATCACACAGAGACCCGCAGACTCACCACACAGAGACCCATAGTCTCATCACACAGAGACCCATAGACTCATCACAGAGACCCATAGACTCATCTTATAGAGACCCAGACTCATCACATAGAGACCCACAGACTCACCACACATAGACCCACAGACTCACCACACAGAGACCCACAGACTCACCACACAGAGACCCATAGACTCACCACACAGAGACCCATAGACTCACCACACAGAGACCCACAGACTCACCACACAGAGACCCATAGACTCACCACACAGAAACCCACAGACGCATCACACAGAGACCCACAGACTCACCACACAGAGACCCACAGACTCATCACACAGAGACCCATAGACTCACCACACAGAGACCCACAGACTCACCACACAGATACCCACAGACTCATCACACAGAGACCCATAGACTCACCACACAGAGACCCATAGACTCATCATACAGAGACCCATAGACTCACCACACAGAGACCCATAGACTCATCACACAGAGACCCACAGACTCATCTTATAGAGACCCAGACTCATCACACAGAGACCCGCAGACTCACCACACAGAGACCCATAGTCTCATCACACAGAGACCCATAGACTCATCACAGAGACCCATAGACTCATCTTATAGAGACCCAGACTCATCACATAGAGACCCACAGACTCACCACAGACTCAGATCACCCCACAGAGACCCACAGACTCACCCACACAGAGACCCACAGACTCACCACACAGAGACCACAGACTCACCACACAGAGACCCACAGACTCACCCCACAGAGACCCACAGACTCACCACACAGAGACCCACAGACTCCACACAGAGACCCACAGACTCACCACACAGAGACCCACAGACTCAACACAGAGACCCACAGACTCACCACACAGAGACCCAGACTCACCACACAGAGACCACAGACTCACACACAGAGACCACAGACTCATCACACAGAGACCCACAGACTCACCACACAGAGACCCATAGACTCACACACAGAGACCCACAGACTCACCACACAGAGACCCACAGACTCACCACACAGAGACCCACAGACTCACCACACAGAGACCACAGACTCACCACACAGACCACAGACTCACCACACAGAGACCCACAGACTCATCACACAGAGACCCACAGACTCACCACACAGAGACCCATAGACTCACCACACAGAGACCCACAGACTCACCACACAGAGACCCACAGACTCATCACACAGAGACCCACAGACTCACCACACAGAGACCCACAGACTCACCACACAGAGACCCACAGACTCACCACACAGAGACCCACAGACTCACCACACAGAGACCCATAGACTCATCACACAGAGACCCACAGACTCACACACAGAGACCCACAGACTCACCACACAGAGACCCACAGACTCATCACACAGAGACCCACAGACTCACCACACAGAGACCCACAGACTCCACACAGAGACCCACAGACTCACCACACAGAGACCCACAGACTCACAAAGACCCACAGACTCATCACACAGAGACCCACAGACTCACCACAGAGACCCACAGACTCACCACACAGAGACCCACAGACTCACCACACAGAGACCCACAGACTCACCACACAGAGACCCACAGATCATCACACAGAGACCCACAGACTCACCACACAGAGACCCACAGACTCACCACACAGAGACCCATAGAATCATCACACAGAGACCCACAGACTCACCACACAGAGACCCACAGACTCACCACACAGAGACCACAGACTCACCACACAGAGACCCATAGACTCACCACACAGAGACCCACAGACTCACACACAGAGACCCATAGACTCACCACACAGAGACCCACAGACTCACCACACAGAGACCCACAGACTCACCACACAGAGACCCACAGACTCACCACACAGAGACCCACAGACTCCCACACAGAGACCCACAGACTCACCACACAGAGACCCACAGACTCACCACACAGAGACCCACAGACTCACACAGAGACCCACAGACTCACACAGAGACCCATAGACTCACACACAGAGACCCATAGACTCTCCACACAGAGACCCACAGACTCACCACAAGAGACCCACAGACTCACCACACAGAGACCCACAGACTCACCACACAGAGACCCATAGACTCACCACAGAGACCCACAGACTCACCACACAGAGACCCACAGACTCATCACACAGAGACCCACAGACTCACCACAGAGACCCATAGACTCACCACACAGAGACCCACAGACTCACCACACAGAGACCCACAGACTCACCACACAGAGACCACAGACTCACACAGAGACCCACAGACTCAACACAGAGACCCACAGACTCACCACACAGAGACCCACAGACTCACACAGAGACCCACAGACTCACCACACAGAGACCCATAGACTCACACAGAGACCCACAGACTCACCACACAGAGACCCACAGACTCACCACACAGAGACCCACAGACTCACCACACAGAGACCACAGACTCACCACACAGAGACCCACATATCACCACACAGAGACCCACAGACTCACCACACAGAGACCCACAGACTCACCACACAGAGACCCACAGACTCACCACACAGAGACCACAGACTCACCACACAGAGACCCACAGACTCACCACACAGAGACCCACAGACTCACCACACAGAGACCCACAGACTCACACAAACCCACAGACTCACCACACAGAGACCCACAGACTCACACACAGAGACCCACAGACTCACCACACAGAGACCCACAGACTCACCACACAGAGACCCACATACTCACCACACAGAGACCCACAGACTCACCACACAGAGACCCACAGACTCACCACAGAGACCCACAGACTCACCACACAGAGACCCACAGACTCACCACACAGAGACCCACAGACTCACACACAGAGACCCACAGACTCATCACAAGAGACCCACAGACTCACCACACAGAGACCCACAGACTCACCACACAGAACCCACAGACTCACCACACAGAGACCCACAGACTCACCACACAGAGACCACAGACTCATCACACAGAGACCCACAGACTCACCACACAAACCCACAGACTCACCACACAGAGACCCACAGACTCACCACACAAGACCCACAGACTCACCACACAGAGACCCACAGACTCACCACACAGAGACCCACAGACTCACCACACAGACCCACAGACTCACCACACAGAGACCCACAGACTCACCACACAGAGACCCACAGACTCACCACACAGAGACCCACAGACTCATCACACAGAGACCCCAATTGCATCTTGATCGTGCTATCGATCGCACCGCACGAGGGGTGTCTGTCCGGATAGATCCCCGAGCAGAGCAACGCTTCGTGTTCGACGGCGATCGACGGAAAGTGGATGTCACAGAGCTACCTCTGAGATCCTTTCAATTGACCTCTGACCCACACGGTAAGGGGGCAGCAACTCTCCCACCCGCAGGGGCCGGGGTCAATGTGACGGTCGAACCGACGTTTGGCCAAACTTAAGCGCAAAACACAAATATTCACGCGACGGTATTCTTAGGGTTTTTTAATCCTTTATATTAAGTTCGCTTGCTTGCGTGCTTGCTTGCTTGCTTACGACCGTGCAAACCTTTCGGTCGTTTTTTAACCCACTTCCCGTGATCCAATCGAGCTGACATTTTGCACACAGACTCGTTGTGCGTGACAATTAATGTTCGTGAAATTTTTTTTCCAAAATTTTACACTGTTTAGGGAAAACAAATTAAATATTAATTACCAATTGCTTAATATGGCAGACAATCATCTGACCCATAGGTGGCAGCCATCTCAAGCCAGAGGACGAGAGGACTCTAGCCGCCACGCATATAAAGGATTTAGAGTGAAAAACTTAGTTTTTACGGTTATACTTATTTTTTCGGTAAAGTCACGTAGGTAAAAAATAAAATTGCTCAAAGTAGTGATGGAAATAAAATAATTCTGGATTTGAAGCTTTCGTGACTGCAAGGATTCATATTCTTAGGTTTTTCGGTAAAGTCACCAGGTAGGTAAAAAAATATAAAAGTGGTGGCTCTTGTGATCTCTCATTTGCTTGATACGGCTGTCGTGGCTGCTGACGGTTCCACCTGAAGACGGAAGCTTGTGTTGCCTCCGAAACGTCGTGAGTTTATTTTATTTATTTGCTTTATAAATTTTTACCTACACGGTGACTTTACCGAAAAATCCTAAGAATATGGAAACAAATAATAAATCACGACGTTTTCGGAGGCAACACAAGTCTCCGTCATCAGGTGGGACCGTCACAGCTAAATTACTACTGCATCATTTATTATTTTTTTACCGACGTGACTTCACCGATAAAACCTAAGGGTATGTCTTGTGACCCCACCACCCCCCCCCCTAATTTATCGACACCCCGAGGCTGCTTTCCTGGGTAAATCGACGTCATTATATTTCTGTTATCGTCACGCGTTGTTGTGTTTCAACGGCGGCGTTCATACCTCGCTGACCCGTTCCCCTCGCGGCGTCCCGGGGCCGTCTCCGCGCCGCCGCGAGCTGCTCTGTCTCCCCGGCTCCTGGTCGCGTCGTCATCTGGCATCTCGACGTCCGTGGCGACGGCCGCGCTCGCCTCTCCGTCGCTGCGTTCCTCGTCAGTCTCGTGAACATAACGTGCCGATTCGATACGAGGACAGCACACCGGCGATGCCGGAGAGTCAAATCCACAACGGTTACAACTTGAGCGCGTCGCTTAGCCAGTCATTGCAACCGGCATCATCAGGGGACAGTCAGGTCTCGAGCGAACCCACGATCTCCTGTATACCAGGCGAGGTAGTTAACATCTCCTAGCCAACGTGATGATGATGATGAGAGAGACACGCAAACTCCAAATATACAACAGCAGATTGTCAGGGTCGGGATCGAACCCACGACCTCCTGTATACCAGGTGAGGTAGTTAACATCTCCTAGCCACCGTGATGATGATGAGAGAGAGAGAGACACGCAAACTCCAAATATACAGCAGCAGGCGTCAGGATCGGGATCGAACCCACGACCTCCTGTATACCAGGCGAGGTAGTTAACATCTCCTAGCCACCGTGATGATGATGAGAGAGACACGCAAACTGCAAATATACAGCAGCAGACGTCAGGGTCGGGATCGAACCCACGACCTCCTGTACACCAGCGAGGTAGTTACATCTCTAGCCACCGTGATGATGATGAGAGAGAGAGACACACAAGCCCAAATATACAGCAGCAGGCGTCAGGGTCGGGATCAACCACAGACCTCCTGTACAACCAGGCGAGGTGGTTAACATCTCCTAGCCCCGTGATGATGATGATGAGAGAGACACGCAAACTCCAAATGTAAAGTAGGCGTCAGGATCGGGATCGAACCCACGACCTCCTGTATACCAGGCGAGGTAGTCAACATCTCCGAGCCACCGGAGTGATGATGAGAGAGAGAGACACGCAAACTCCAAATATACAGCAGCAGGCGTCGGGTCGGGATCGAACCCACGACCTCCTGTATACCAGGCGAGGTAGGTAACATCTCCTAGCCACCGTGATGATGAGTGAGAGAGAGACACACAAGCTCCAAATATACAGCAGCAGGCGTCAGGGTCGGATCAAACCACCGACCTCCTGTACACCAGGCGAGGTGGTTAACATCTCCTAGCCACCGTGATGATGATGATGAGAGAGACACGCAAACTCCAAATGTAAAGTAGGCGTCAGGATCGGGATCGAACCCACGACCTCCTGTATACCAGGCGAGGTAGTCAACATCTCCTAGCCACCGTGATGATGATGAGAGAGAGAGACACGCAAACTCCAAATAGACAGCAGCAGGCGTCAGGGTCGGGATCGAACCCCACGACCTCCTGTACACCAGGCGAGGTAGTTAACATCTCCTGGCCACCGCAGCGCCTATATAAATCTTCGATAATCACTTCTAAATGACGCGTGCCATTTCATACGCGTATATCAAAGATGTATTATGGACGACTCAATATGTTAGACGATAATGTTTTGTCTTTCTTTGGAATTTTCACACTTAAATTCTAACTTTGCAATCTTTGAAATACGTAATCGACCAGGCAATGCGTTAATTGTGTGTTGACTGACTCTCTGTGTCGTTTTACATAACATTTCGAATCTTTTGCTAGGTTATTTAATTTAGTGTGTTCTGTCTCCCTCTAAGCCTGCGTACTTTACTACGCGTCCCTTCGTACT